TCATATAATGAATAAATGTAGTTGGCAATACTAGCAACGTATAGTGCTCGATACACGTGATAATGCAGAGCGTAAATATTTAATATATATATCATATATACTGTATATAAAATATAATATAGCATAACAATAATGATAATAATTATCATAAAAGTAATAGTTATTTAATTTATAATATTGCTTAGTACATTTTTTTTTCATAGCCGCTTCCTGTTCATCTATATATATATATATTTCAATACATATTTACATGTTTTAACTGGACTCTAGAACTAGGCCTGCGTATACATTGTTTCTATTTAACATATTTCAGTCTTTGTCAATCTAAAGTCGAAGGTATGCCCTGGTCCCCAACCCATTTTATGTTCACATAGATTGGCTTATCTTCATAAAACTTCTACAAATGGATACCTTGTTTGAAGCAAGAAACCAAGCTGTCTATATCCAGTATCGCTCGTCTATTTTATTCGCGTGGGAAACTTTTAACAAAGCGAGTGAAAATTAGAACAATTACGAATGACTGTCGAAAAGATAACATATGAGCTAATCAGTAGATAATAAATAAGTTAAGTCACTTTAAAAAAAAAATAAATATATGGATGGATGGTATTAAAATTGGTTGTTTCAACTTAAACAATCTCAGAAACGCTGATGGTAAAGTCCTGCCAACTGAATCAAAGGAAAATATTCAAAAGTAAATAACTGCTGCCGATAGAATAGAAGACGATTTTGGAATGAAAATAAATGTGGCAACTGCAATATTGATGGAAATTATCACAAAGAAGCAAAAATGTAGGTGAAAAAAAGAGCTGAAGGGAGTGTACAGTTGGAAAAGTTTGTTGAAGCCTTCACCACCCTGGACATATGCATCTGATAACCAATGATGGAAAGAGTAAGATAAAAATCAGACGAATAGAAATTTTAAGTTTAAATAAAATAAGAATTGACTAATAGGTCTACTGGAGAGTTCTTTTAAAGAATTATTAATAGGCTGTGATAGCAGAATTAAAAATGAGATATATTCCACTGCAGTGTTTGCAATATACAAAATTAAAATTCTAACAGAGCTAGGTAAGCCTGTTTGTAAAAATGCATGGATTATATTTAAGAATTTTGTAAAAGAAAATAATTATGAATGGAACGTTATACTTGAATGAGTTTTATTTTGTTATCTATAGTATTATTATCATTGTACTAATTTTGAATAATTGGGATTAAATTGAAAAATATTTGTAAGTATATTAAATTAATTAAGAGTTTTATATTTTAATATCAAAAATATTTTTTAAAAAAATATGAAAAGAAACAATGGAATAACGTTTGTAAAAAAAAAAAGGCCTACTTATTTGTAAAATAGGCCTATTTAGCGGCATTCACATCGGAACCAAACAGTAATGGAAGCGTTTCCGATGTGCTGAAGGATTTATTATGTGCTGAATGATTTATTTATTTAAATAAAGTATGTTATATTATAATGATATACCGTATAATGTGATATAAAAAAAATAAAATTATTCTATTAATCAATTTAAATTATATTTAGTTCCAAATTACCTTTATTCGATTATACACGTTACTGGTTGTATAAAAAAAAACAGTAATGCCATGAAGGTAATGAAAAAAAAAATCGATATAGAAGGAAATATTGTGCTGTACTGTACTGATTGTTTGAATAAAGGTGGTGGTTACGCCACGAAAGAGAGAAAAAAAAAAGGTCTACTGGAGAGGAAAATGGAAGGCAAGAAACGATTAGGAAGACCGAGAGCTGCCTGAACAGGAAGCATTAAGGAATGGCGTGGCATTAGTTATGAAAGTTGCGTCAGGAAGGCGCAGGACAGAAAGAGATAGCAATCCATGTCAGCCAAACTCTTGGAGCAAACTAAATTTATTCTGCAAAATTATTCTGCAAACGAGTCTGGAAGTGTTAATTGTAAATAATGTTATCTTTAGAATCACTTAAATACGACTTAAGAAAGGCTAAAACGCCGGAGCTTCGAGGGGAATTTCCACTAGGGTTTCGCCCCCTGGACTTACACGGGCGGCCCCCGGGACTCCTTTTTCCTATTCTTCCCCACTAATAAGCACCACTAAAATATTACAATATTTGTAATATTTGTACTGTGCCCAGTGAATTGAAGTTATAGGTCTAGATAAGTTAGAATGAACACTTACATACACCCAGATTAATTCCACTTCCTAACATTCTAATTATATAGAAGTAACTTCCCTTTTTTGCGCCGCACCTTTAGGCTGTAACGATTAAGAAGAAAGAAACCGTAGGTAGCAGTAGCTTTTACAGCACTCAAAAGTAATAAATCCTAACTTGTCAGCAGTTACGGTATGTTGTAATACAAGAATTAGGCCCATTTTCTCTTCCACTAAGATAATTTGTTCATGGGATTAAGGTTGAAGTACAGTGATTGTAGTACTACTAGTAGTATAGGCCATTGAATTGTTTTCATTTCTTTCTGTGATTACGGCTTAATTCTTTCCGCTAAAATACAAATAACTAGGCCTATGTATAATATTTCACTCTGGGTAGACCCCATAAATTGATAATATTCCAGGAATCCTAATTTTGGAAAGAAAATCACACAGGATTTCTTATATTTGTTGTACCACCATGGAGGAATGTGTTGCTGTGTTTTGCTATGCTACAGGCAGGGCCCACTCTGTGTCGAAGACGAACTATACTGTAACTGCATGAAAGACGTAGAACTTATGCATGACGTCAACATTATGAAGCCACGCCCCCATCGGCTGAACCTGTTGTATTTAGCAACTACAGGAAACATAGAGCTTTATTGCAACCAGCGTGACCACTGCTTGGGTATTTACCCAAGATCTTGGGTATTTTGACTTGGTCTTGGATTCTTGGGTATTCCGTTCAAATCCTTGGGTATTTTATTTTTACTAAGAAAATTAAATATTTTTGTCATAGAGGAAGAATTAAGAAGTAACAAAGTATATTTCAGTCCAGTCAAGTAAGGAAAACTCAACAAAGTGCACATAACATTGTTAATTGACTGTTAATTGCTATAAACATGGGTTCAGAATTGTTTATTTGTGATTTGTGTTGCTATTGATCTTACCTAATTAATGCATTACAGAATAAAACTTGATCACTGATCTACTGATAACACTGACCGACTGAGGGCGTATTTTCCTATCTGTATTATCACCTCATGAATATTAATTTTAATAATTAACACAAACAATTACAATAAAAAATTGGTTTATAAATTGAACTAAAAGGGAAACTATACATGCGAAAAACACGTATTTTTCAAATTTTAATGCATTTTCAGGAAGCTTGGGTAATTTTGGCCAATTTTTGCTGAATCTTGGGTAATTTCGACGCAGACATTGGGTATATCAAAAATTGTGAGTGGTCACACTGATTGCAACAATTCAGCATACTTATTTCAGCTAAAGCGATCAGGCTATGGATGGAAAATAATGAGAACTTGAGTGGGTCGAGAAGCCTCTATTTTGGTTTGGCTGTCTTTACAGAGTTTATATATTAGTGTTCGTCAGGGGGAATTGTAATTAAATTATCGCAAAAACAGGTTAGGCTCTATCGTCGTACCTACGTACGTAGGCCTGCATTGACAATCCCATAAAAATAACCTCATAAACTGACGACACCAATCTAGGGCCTACTACTAGCCAAGTAGTAGAGCTAGGGTATTCAAAATACGGTGCTGTAGGCTGAAGAGGATTAGGGTTAACTATTATCGAGATATCGTATACGGTACCTATGCTTTATCGAACCATACAAAATAGCCACACACTGGCGGCAGTAGTAGAAGGGCCTACTAGTAGTCAAGCTAGTGGGGAAGAAGTATGAATACATATAAATAAAACTTATTATACCGACTTATTAATATTAATAACAATAATGGTAAAAATGCGGTTTGGCTTAGTGGTTTTCATTTTGGTCGTTTAACTTGTAGTTAGCAGGAGTGCAAACCAAATTGAAACGGTGTCCAATCTCGGGCGGCCATGTATAGATACCCCATATTGCATTGTTGACAGGCTGTCAAGAGGCTAAGGCATGTTTCAGCCATAGGTGCAAGCATTTTCATATAATATAAATAAATTGTAGTTTAGTATTAAGCCTCTTAAAAAAAAAAAAAAAAAAAAAAAAAAAACAGTAACAGACCCCATAAATGGCAAAACGAACAAGGGAAAACAACGTAAAAGATTAAGAGATGAGATCGATATTTATTGGGTAAAAATTAAATAGTGCAACACAGCAAAGAGAGAAAGATTGATTTGGCGTCGACATCCTGAGACATATGTCCAGCAGTGGACCGACAATAGCTGATGATGAAGCCTCTGAAGGTTATCAACGTAATTAACTTACCACACACCCTGGTCAGTCAACAACAGTGAACAAAAATAATGTTAAATACAGAAATAAATAATAAAATAATCAAAATTAATGCCGAAATATTACAATGAAAATCCATATGGAATTTTCTTTCCTCACTCACGGGAGGCCCGCCTCCACTGGCGCCACCCTGCAGTATCCATTAGTCACCATCAAGGCGTTTTTTCTGCTTTTATTTACAATAAAATCTGCCAGTCTTTAAAGTTCTCTACACCTCGTCAAGTTGACAAAGATAATACGAAATAAAGTTAAACATACATACTTGTCTCACTGCAACTTTCGTGCCAAAGGCTTGGCCAAGGATGGCCGTCAACAGCTTTCATGGCATGGCGTGTTAAAAACATACTGCTCATCGTAGCATTGTGGCCCTTAATAATCCTATTAGAACATGGAACTTTCCCGCACAGGTCACTCTCACGCAAGTTTCCTGAACATAATCCGGGCTGACTGCACTGACGATGCCTTCTACGTGTGCCGCCTCCACAACTCACTGTGCAGGAAGTCCATGTCTCCCAGTCGTACAAAATTGCTTCAAGAATAAAACATTAGTATACATATATATTAATAAGTTAAGGTTGTTTAACTCGCACTATATATATAATATATATATATACATATATATTAGTAATATATATATATATATATATATATATTAGTATCTCTAATGTATATCACTTACGCTGATGAATTCCGCAGAAGTGGACGAAATATTCGTGTTAAATAAATTATGTCCCAAAAATACG